GGATCTCAAATTTAGGGAGATTAAGTGATTAACTCTGTATTTAGCTAGATATCAAGCAGGGGAGCAGAAGGGAATTAGACAAGGAGTTTGATAACCTGGGAGCAGGAGTCTGCCTGTTTCACCAGGAAGCTGCAGCCGTTCACACTCCAGGGGCCAAGCGGTTGTTCCAACCAGGGGACTGACACCCTCCCTTTCTCTCCACCCACCAGTGCTAAACTGGCAGGGATCGTAGGGGTGGTGATGGACCATAGAGGCCGGTTGTCATAACTGGGAGGTGCAAACTCATCTAAAGCCCGTGAAAGCCTGGAAATTTTGAAAAAAGTACCTGGTCCATCCCAAGTTAATACAGTCTGAGGGGAACAAAGAAGCTGTCTTGCTCGCTTGCTTGCTCTGGCTTGTGACCTGCACTTGCTCACGAGACTCACTCCATAGCCATATGGCCCTACCACCTGCAGGGCCCACAGCACCCGGGAGGAAGCCTGAACACCAAGCACAGTGACGGACTGCAGTTGGAAATGCAAGCTGCACTGCCCGGATGCTGGACTGGACTGGACTGCACTTTAATATGGCACAGTGTCTCTGGAAAGGATGCCATTTCTGGCCCTGATTGTCCACCGCAGGATGGACAGAGGGGACCCAGTGGCGACTTTTTCTTCCACAGGAATAAACCATCTCGCCTCCCTGTAATCTCCCGTGCAGGTGCCTTTGGATTGCTTCCTGGTGATTCCGTGGAAGAACCTAATTTCCACCAGCAACAAAGTGACTTGTCCCAAGTCATTCAGTTAAAAAATGGCAGGACCAGGGTTAAACCTTAGCTCTGCTCAAGACCCTAAAGCCTGTAGTTTCAACCAAGGCTCAGCAAACTTTCCTGTAAGGGGACAAATAGTAAACATTTTTAACTTTGCAAGATACAGTCTCTATCATCTCTACTCAGTGTTGCTGTTGTAGCACAAAAGCGGCAACAGACAAATTCTAAATAAACGGGCATAGCTTTGTTCCAGTAAAACTCGATTTCTTAAAACAGGTGGTGGGCCAGACTTGAGCCCTGGGCCATAGATTTACAGCCCTCATTCTTAATGATCACAGTAGACTCCCTGTTAACAAGGGGGAGCCCGAGCCATCATGTTTGCTAGATGATGTCTGAGATAAACTTCTATGGTTTCATTACTGTCCCACTCTTACAATTACCAATCAGGAATCCACCCCATCTACCAAAATCAGAGCATAGGCTTTGAGTCAGAGGCCTGGGGTCAGTCTCTGGTTCTGCTGTGCACTGTATATCCCAGGGCTCGATCACATAATCTCCTCTGAGCCTTCACCCCTGACACAGGGACAACAGTACCTGTTCCCGACGGGTGCCCGAGGCTGACAGAAAACATTACACGGAGATTGCCCCACACAGGGCCCCCCCATGCACCAATAAACCACAGTCACTATTGCAGCTAAATTGCAGGGTCCCTGGGCTCTTTAACCCAGGTCTTCCATGTCTTTCCTAAGGAAAAAAGTCAAAACAATGAGAAATAGAGAAAAACGTTTACCACAACATCATTTATAATGAAGAAAAATGAAAATTCATTAACATATCCAGCAGTAGAAAGTACAGTTAAACAAATTACAATACATTTGTGTGACACAGCAGTGTTTCAAACTCCAGATTGCAACCATTAGTGTGATGGTGAAATAAAGTTAGAGATTAATGACAAGGACCCTAAAAAAATTAATGGAAGGGAAATGGAAATAGAGTCATAACTTTCATTTCTGGTGTATAATTTTATGTGTGTATGCATCCATATAGGCTGCTATTTAAAATGTAGTTCTCAGTGTGGTTTTGGATCTAAAATGTTAAATGTTCAGAAGCCATTGTGAGGGTATTTTATTCGATTAAACCATATGAAATTACTATTCTTAACAAATATGGTAAGAATTTAGCAATTTCATATGGCTCAATTTAATATATGGTTATTGAATGGTATCACAATAAAGTTTTAATGATGTGGGGAAATGCTTATAATTCTAAGTGAAATATACAGAATGGTATGTATACATATGACCATTGCTATAACTCTATGCCAGGCTATGCATACAAAAATGGAAATATTTAGTGCAAACAGGTGATAGGATCTTTAGTATAATTTTCTATATTTTTTACATAAATCAAGCATTCTATGTATATATTTATTATACTTTGTATTTATGATGCTGTTAAAAACTCATTAATTTTTAATGGCCTCCAGTGAAATCAAAACAAATGACTCTCTTTTAATTTCAATTAATATGACTGTAATCACTTACCAAGACACTAAATTACCTAAATAGACAGTATTGTATCAGTCAAGGTAAGTACACTATGTCTTCTAATGATAAAATCAAGTTTCAGATCTTGGAAAATATAGTTCTTATTGTTTTTTAGACATGTTGATACCTTTTATTAGTTCCAACAAAGGCAACTTCTGGTAGTACCCAAATTGTATCTTTCAAATATTTAATAGTATCCCAATCATTGTGGATGGGAGGTCACAGCACAGAAAATTAATAACCTTTAAAAAGATTGTGAAACTCTGTAAGCAAGCATAAAATAAGACATATATAAAACATGTGTATAACTTTACTGAATCTGCCACAGCCTAGCTAAGTTAACCTTTGGCAAGTCACTTAATGTTTTCTCATCTGTAAATAAGACTGATTGTAGCAAGTGCCCCGAATGTGCGATTCTAAGCCAGAGTACTCTTGGGCAGGTGGGGGGCAGGTGGGGGGGCAGGAGGACTGCAGTTCCAGCATGGTAACCAGCACTAAGGCTCTCGGTAAACTTTTGTAGATCAATAAGGCTGGTGCTGAATAAGACTGGTTACTATAAAGCACATGTCTATGCCCTTTGCTTTCTTTTGCCTGGTCATGAGAAAATGGAAGCAAAAGTTCAGTATCCACCCCCACCCCTTATCATTTTAACCATCAGGGAAGCACCAGGAGTTGAAAAGACAATCCTTCCCCATTGCTGCTCTTAGCATCCTTGCTGGAGATCAATGGCCCCTGACATGTGAGTTTATCCCTGGATTTCCAAGTGCATTGCATTGGTTTACATGTGTATCCCAAGCCAGTGCCACACCACACTCTCTGTCTGTAGTAAGGTTCGACATTGGCAAGTTTCAGTGCTCCAACTATGTTTTTCTTTTTCAATATTGTTTTGGCTATCTGGGGCCCCTTGCAATCCCATATGAATTTGAAGATCAGTTTTTTCATTTTTGCAAAAGAAGTCAATGGTCATTCTTGATAAATTTGTTTAATAAAGTGGGAATTGAACACTTCCTTAACACAATAAAAGTCAGCATCATGCTGAAAGTAAAAACACTAGAAATAGTCTCATTACATTCAGCAACAAAATGAGGAAGTCTGCTATTATTGTGCATATTATTCAATACATTTAAAATTATTAAAAATATAAAAATAGATAGAAGAGGTAAAATTAACTCCATTTGAAGCTCAAATGATCATAAAATGAAAAACCCAGGTGCATCAATTGAAAAAACAATCATACATAATAGGAACACTCTGTTAGTTGGCAGCCTACAAAGTCATTACACAGAAATCAATAGCTTTCGTATATTCTATAGAAATAAAAATTACAATATATAATAGAGGAAAATGCCTCATTTAGAACAGCAACAGAAAGACTAAAATACTAGAAATACATATGATTAAGAAATAGGAACACGCACTTTGGAAAAAAACAAAAAGACCTAGAACATGCCAGAGCTTGTTATGCTGAATAGTGGCCCACCAAGGAGCCCACATCCTACTTCCTAGAACTTGTGGCCATGATGCCTTACAAGGTAAAAGAAGGTTTGCAGATGTGACTAAGGTTCTTGAGGTGGGGAGTTCATCTGGATTAGCTGGATCGGCCGGATGTCATTGTAATTGCAAGGGTCCTTATAAGAGGGAGGCAGGAAGATTGGAGTAAGAACATTGGTGTACGCTATGACAACCAGCAGAGGGTGGAGTATGTGCTTCCTTACGAAGGAAGGGTTCGCAAGCTGAGCAATGTAGGTGGCCTCTAGAAGCTGGTGGCAGTGCAGGTCACACTCTCTCTTCAGATGCCCTGGAGGGAGGGAGGTCTTCCTCCACCTGCATGCCAGCCCAGAGAAGCCATGGGAGATTTCTGAGCCCCAGAACTGTAAGATAATGAATGCCCATCATTTTATACCACTAAGTTTGTGGTAATTGGCTGCAGCAGCGATAGGAAACCAATACTCTCAGGGACAAAAGTAACCTGAACAAGAAAAAGGTGTTCTACAGTCTTGCATAGGAAGACTCATCACAAGCCCTTGTCAAATCTGCCAGGGTCTATCTGAAAACTCACCTCAAACCCCAACTTTAAGAAGCAAATGCTATCATCTCCATTTTACATATAGGAAAATCGAGGCCAAAGGATGTTGTCTGAGAACACAAAGCTCTCAACTGACATGGCTGGAAATCCATCCAGTTCAGGGAGTCTGGCCTCCAGCTTCATGCTCTTTGCAGCTGCTCCAGTGAGACTTAGAAGGTGGTTTCTAAGTTAGGTTACAACTGGCCCAGAGGTTAAGGACAGTCCTCATGCCTTCTAACAGGGAAGGGTGTCATGTTTGTGTTTGTAGTTCGAAAGATGCTGTTTTATTAGATTCTTTTCTGGAAGAACTGCTCATCCTTGTACCAGAAAGCCAATGCCGCTTACAGCACGCATCTTGCTATTTGTGGTGTCTGTTCTGCCATGGTTTCCAACTGCAACATTGATTTAAGTCACAGTTCCCAATGAGAAGATCAGAATGTTTCCTGAGGTGTGGCTGATGTTCACAAAAGATTCTCAGAATCAAAGCACCAAGAATACACGGATAATGTTGCTAAACAAATGGTTCAAGATCCAGAAGGCTGTAGCCATCGCTGCCATCATTGAAGGAGGGTTTTACCCGGGTTTGCATTTTACTTTTTTAGAAATGTCATATCAATTTGTATTTTTTATTTCTTTTTAGGATTTCATCAAGGGTCTTTCTATTTTGCTCCGGGGGACCGTACAAGAAAAACTCAACTGGGCATTTAACTTATACGACATAAATAAAGATGGCTATATCACTAAAGAAGTAAGAAATACTTCCCCAACAGCTGTCCTTCAGGACATTTTTATTTTTTTACTTCAAAATGTTAATTTGCAATTATTAGTTTAAAATTACTTTTTCAGAAAATCTAAAATATTATATTTAGTGGTAGAGAAATATTTGAATAAAAGTGGGGAATGGATAGGAATAGTTTATGATGAACCTGCACAGTAGATACAAAACATGTAAGGACTATACCCTGTTTCCTAATGGTATTTTAATAAACACCATGAATAAACTGTAGATTGTAGTCAGAATTAGATAGAAAGAAAATGCATCCAAACCATGTTAGAATATTTGGCCTATGACCTTCTCCATCCCCATATAACATGATCCAGGTGGAATCATGCACTTGTAAAGCCTTATAGATTGTGTGGTGACTTGTATTGTGTAGAAAATGACCTGACAGCATGGTGGGACCCCCAAAACACTTCTAGGCAGGCCATGAATGTAGGAAGACCCACAGACCAAATAAGATATTTATATCCAATGGCTCACTAAAGTAATGTGAAACACATGAGAAGCAATAAAAAAGAGATGGGGCGAGGTAACTAATTTAGGATGAGGTGAAAGTGGAGTTGAAGAATCACATTACCCCAATCCTGGGAGGGTTCTTATGCCCTATCTCTCTGCCTTTCAAAGAAACGGTCTCTTGGGCCAGTGACATGAACTTGCTCTGCTGGAGACAAAGGGACAAGTGCACGATCACAGCTATAGTGGCACAATTCACCTTGTCAGCAGCCAGGAGTTTTATTCGTGCTTCTTGAGCAGAGGACACACGGGCTCCAGAATGTTCCTCACCAATGGGAGGCTGAATAACACCTCCTGAATGAGAATGTTGTGTATATGCAGCATATTCTGAATAGTTAGTGCTTCTTGTATATGCGGTATACAATAATATAAGCATTTAGAACTCGATGTCTCAGGGATATTAGGTGTCTCTTTGTCCTTCAACTCTTTTCTAGCTCTTCCTTTGTTGACTACAAACAAATGCTGGTCTCACCACTCACACCTCACACATCTGCCACCATGGCAAGCAAACTTCTTACTATTTATCTAAACTCAAAACATCTTTGAGAGTTTCACCTAAGATTCATAAACTACAGACTAGTTTGTTGTTTATAGTAGAACTAAATACTCCCCCAAATAAATGTATATTATATCTTTATTATTAACTCAATCCAGATTCTTTTATGTGGAAAATTCAATAAGAAGGAAACAAATGTGAAGCAATAAATCTGAATGTCTAAATAATTAGATATCACTGTCACCAAGATTGAAAGTAAATCAAAAACTAGATTTTGTTTTAATAAAATAATAATGAAATTTTAAGGTGAACTCCAGAGACATTTGACGGGTCTACATGTGCGATTTCTTCCGTTAAAGCTGTAGATTAAGAAAAAAAATAGCGAAAATCCTAGTGAGCTTTGAAACGTAATTTTAGTATAGTTCTCATTATGTGGAGTTATACTTTATTCTCAACAAAAATTGATAATAACCATGTAAGATTTAATTCAATAAAACAAAGATAGTCTGTGTGAAAACTATGGAAACCCAAACATTAACCCAGAATATTTCTGACCAAGTTTGATATGTGGGAGTTTACTTCACTTTCAAACCAAGATCAGAACTATTTCTAACATTCCAACTCCGCCGCTTCTAATGCACAAAGCAGTTGGCTTTTCCTCACAACCAAAAGGCATTTCATGAGGAACCAAAGAGCACTGAAAAAATTGAAATCGAGTAGAAATCATCTGTCAAACCTTCTCAGGGCGGTATTACCCGCAGCCTCATGGGCATGTGTTTGGCTTTCCAGGAAATGCTTGACATAATGAAGGCGATCTACGACATGATGGGCAAGTGCACATACCCTGTCCTCAAAGAAGATGCACCCAGACAGCACGTGGAGACATTTTTCCAGGTAGGGTTGGAAGAAAGAAGTCGGAGAGAAACAGGGAGAGAAACTACGAGGAAATTGGTTTTGACTTCAAAGTGTCATGATAATTCAAAAAAAAAAATGTAAAGAAAAGACTTTCCCGAAAGGGATAAAACAATAGAAAATAACACCATCCTACCAATTTAATAATTTTGATTTTGAATGTATTATAATAGTGATAACTACACTTATTGAACATTCATGCTGTATCTAGACAGAACACTAAGTAATTGCCATGGTTCACTTTTTTGTTGTTTTTTTGCTGGGGGTGGGTTGCATTCAGTTCTCACAAGAACCCTATGAGGTTATACATCCTCATTAGCCCCATTTAACAGATGAGAAGGTCAAGGTTCTGAAAGTTTCAGTGCATTACCCTCTGGCATAGTTAAGGCCAAGTCAATGGCTCCAGATCTACCCCACACACTGGTGACAAGGGAAGAGCCTGAAAGGAGTCAGCCAGATGATTCCCATCACGGAGACCTTGTTATTTCCTGTTCTGAAGCAGTTCCTCCCATTAGACAAGCGGCCCCAAAGTCAGATGCAGCTCATTTGCATCAGGTGTGAGGATATCGTGGGTAATGAATAATTTCCTTCTTTTCTTTCTGAACAGAAAATGGACAAAAATAAAGATGGAGTTGTTACTATAGACGAGTTCATCGAAAGTTGCCAAAAGGTAAGTAATGGTAGGAAAGGAACTTTCCTTTTGCTTTCATAACAGCTAGACTGGGTATTGGAAGCCAGCCTCCACCTTCCCACTGTTACACAGCCGAAATAGGCCCACTGCTCTGAAACAACCACCAAATTCTAGGTTAACTAATCAGCCCCAGCAGAGCACCTACAGCTACATAGGTAAGCCCTGCAGATGCAACATTGCACATAGACTTGAGTTTTCGTTCCTTAAACCCTTTAGAGCACAGGTGAATCCGTGTCTCCACCTTGTTTTATCCAGCCCAGCACCTTGATTCCAGGCACCTGGCGGCTACATCAAGCTCTCAGTTAACTGTTAAGTAGCAGTTACATTTATTCAGTCCTAAAATTACATTCAGCCCTTTGAAGGCAACTGCGAGGCTGATGTGGCCCCCAGTGAAAATAGTTTGACACCCCTGCTTTAGAGCATATTTGTCATTGAGAATAAGACATGTGCGATTTAGCCTTGGTTGGTGTGGTTGAGGTAGACTGAGGGCCTGGTAGATTGAGGGCCGAACTTCGAACCAAAGGGTTGCTGGTTTAATTCCCAGTCAGGACACATGCCTGGGTTGCAGGCCAGGTCCCCAGTAGGAGGTGCACAAGAGGCAACCACACATTGATGTTTCTCTTCCTCCTTTTCTCCCTCCCTTCCCCTCTGTCTAAAAATAAATAAAATCTTTACCAAAAAAAAAAAACAAACAAACCTGCATCAGATTTAAATTGCCCTTTGCCTGGACTTAGCCTACAATGTATATATTGTCTATTATATCTCCATAGCATTAGAATTCTGGTACAGCTAAGTATTCATCATGGCCCAAGCTCAGGGTCGATTTCTAAGAGCAACATCATTGCTTTAATGCATGTGAATAAGAAATGGCTGAAGCAGTCACAGTCCTCAGGTGCATAAAACAAAGAGCGGTAAATTCTCTCAGAGGAGAAATCTGGCTGTGGGAAGCCAGTGTTAGCTTCCCTGGAATTATTGGACTTCAAGCACGACTGCAACCACAATGAACAACTTTAAAAACATGGATGAAGTTTGCTGGTGCTTTAGCTTTTCCACTTATAAATTGATACACTTTTCCTCTCCTGGTGCCTGATTATTTCCACACTCATATTTCAAGCAGGTGGTCTTGGAGAGCTTTAAGTTGATGGCGCCAACATGCTTGACGCTGCCGTTGTGACTTGGCTCCTAGGAGTGGAAGTCATCATTAATGCAGCCATCGTTTACCATTACTATAGAAAGCTCACCAAATGCCATTCACATACAGCCTCCACGTGCCCCCATAATGCCCAAAGTCTGTCCCTTATGTTTCTAAGGAATATGCTACACCAAATTCAGCCACCAAACAATTCTTCCCCAAACAATTGTTTCTCTGGCACTGAGAGACCACTCACTTTTAAAGGCTCCTAAAGGCAACACAGATTTAGCCCTGACATATCCAGGGAAAGGTGCGATTACTAAAAACATGTCCCAAAGCCCCAAGCTCCATTCCTCATTAAGCTGTCTCTAACTTGCACACAAACCTGTTTCCTTCTACATGTTCAGGCCTGCAATCCACTTGGAATGCCAAAATATGCATTTGCTCACTTTGTCTCACCCTCTTTGACTCTCTAGTTTCCATCCTGGCATTCTGGTTTGAGCAATATCCTCTATTAACACTATTAGTTCAGTGACATATTTGAAGCCTGGTAGACTCAACAAAACATACAATGGGCTCTCCAGCTGCCTAGGTGGAGCATCGACAGAATGCTGTTTACACGTGCAAAGAGTATTTGAGCTTGGGATGTAGGGGATTGTTGGAGACGGGCAGTTTTTCAAGGACAACAATGTGTAGCAGGTCCTCAGATAACATCATTTCCTTCAGTGTTGTTTCTTCTGAGTTATTTCATTCAGTGCCATTCATTCAACATCGTTTCGCTCTAATGTTGAGATGCCATAGGAACTTTGCCCTTGTTTATATCCGTAAATCATTTCACTTAGTCACAAAACCTATCTGTGACATTACATGAGGGTTTAATTACTTAATTACTGTACTTCCCCTTGCAAATGTGCTGAAATTAATCCTGCTGTTTTTCCCCCCTACAGGATGAAAACATCATGCGCTCCATGCAGCTCTTTGAAAACGTGATTTAACTTGTCAAAGACGCCCTCGGTCAGACAAATGCGAACTGTTCGACCACACTTAAAAGTTGGAGCTCCCCCGTTTAGCATAGATTGCTCAGCTTACACTGAGGCATATTATGCAAACCAGCTTTATTTATTATGAAGCAAGTCCCAAAAGAGTTTTTGAGTTTTCCACTTTTAACTTCACATCCTTTTCCTAATGCCACTGAGTTCATGGGATGGTTTCAGTCATTTCACACCCTGTGAATACTCAAAAGTAATAGAATCTGGCATATAGTTTTATTGGTACTTTAGCCATGAAATTATTAAGACCTTCACATTATCCGTGAGTTTAAATTTATTCTATTTTTTTTTTTTGCTACTCATTTGTATGTATTCAACCCCAGGATTTTAAGTGGTTTTCTAAAATAGTGGCATGTGCATTTAATTTCCAGAAATTAATTTTTATGCCTGTATGCTGCAGTTCTATTCATGTACTTTGTCAACAGGATTACCACAATTCAAGAAAGCAAACACATAGTCCCAGTTTCTATGGATTTGCTACCTTCTGTTCAAAACATCCATTTATCTGGCATTTTTCAAATATAAAACAAATTAGTTGAACACCAAATGTCAACATATGCCTAATAGCTTATTTAATAAGCACTTCTTAATTTTTCATAAATGCATATTACAGCTAAGGTCTAGACGATGTATATAACTTTGGATTTGTTCAGTCTTCCAGGCTGACTTGTTTTCTACTGTCATTAAGTGGAAGTCCAAGGTGTGAAACAAAGTGAGGATGTTTATAGGCATATGCAAAGGGTCAGGGTATCTGTCCAGTACCCAGAAATGCTTAATAAGAAGTAAATTTTAGCCCTAGCTAGTGTGGCTCAGTGGACTGTGTGCCAGCCTGTGAACCAAAGGGTTGCCTCAATTCCCAGTCAGGGCATATGCCTGGGTTGTGGGCCAGGTCCCCAGTAGGGGACCCATGAGAGGCAACCACATGACATTTCTCTCCTTTTCTCCCTCTGTTCCCTCTGTCTAAAAATAAATCAAATCTTTTAGAAAAAAGAATTAAATTTTAACAGCATTGAAAGCCTATTGCATCCTTTTCCCTGACTTCCCCATGGCACCCTTATAAATTACATGCCATCAGGGACAAAGGAACCTTCATCTCCCCAGTGTGTGCTAGAAACAAGCCAAAATCACTTTGAAAACACCAGTGATTCCATTATAGTGAAAACTCCGATACCAAAATGTAGTGGAAAATGAATACGAGTGCTAAGCAACTTATCTGGACTGTGTTAGGATTTAGCTTACCATAAAACTCCAATAATGCTGATTCTTTTTAACACACTTCAGCCAAAATTGTCAAGTTGCCACATTACTAAAGATACACACACCTTCAGTTTGCAGAAATCTCACAGAGACCAAGAGGCTGCAGGAGGAGGAACCTTGCACCTGTCCTTGGGACAACAAATCAGGTATCTATTCTGGTGTAGAGATAGGATGTGGGAAGCTGCCCTGCCGTCACCAGTGTAGAAATGCTAAGTAGTACAATACCTGTACACTGAAACCCTCCATCGCGTGTTTGTGTAAACTCGGCGTGCACATTTTGTACTTCAAGGAAAAATAAAAGCAAGTAAAATGTTTATAACTCTACTGTGTCTTACAGGTTTTTATTTGGACCCACTTTATAATTACTAGATTAAAAGTGGTTTTGCTTATGGCATTTTCTGGATTGTAGACATCTTTTTCACTTGCGTGGTGCTGAGCACAGTGAGGAGAGTCAAAGTGAGGCTGGGGGCAGGCAGGTGTTCTAGGTCATGTGACCTGAGGATGCTACCAGTGAGGCCTGAGAGACGTGTACACCGGATGGGGACCCAGGGAGCACAACAGATGTGAAGGAGGATGAGCATTTCAGCAACTATGACACTTCAGAAATCACTTTTATGCTTTTAAATTTCTGCTGTGAGACTATCTGAAGTGAGCCTGCAAAGAGCTCAATCCAGGCATTGCAAGGAAGGAGCAAAGAAAGTGTTTTCTCCTTTGGGAGCACTTTGGGGATGAAGCATGGCTGCCCTTACAGGAGCGTGACCCCTAACACCCATCGCTCGGGCAGCGTCAGAGGGCGCGGATCTGGCACGGATTTGCTGACTTCCATGGGCTCATTTCTTGCCCTTAGGATGGAAGGTCTTATTCTTGTTTTTCATTTCCTTCTCCTTTCTCTTGTAGAATGATCCAGAGTCAGCTTCTACAGCATCAACATTCAGAATGATGCCTGTAAATTTCAAAACCTTTTTAAATTTAATTCTTCAACACAAGCAAGCCTAAAAAAATCAATAAACACATATAAGAGTTTTAACATTTTAATTTCAGAATCTCTTCATGCACTGAATTCAGGCTAGGAAATATAAAAATAATATTTACTTAAATACAATTAACACCTAAAGTTTAGGTAGCTTTAATGAGTTGTAATAAACAACATACTTATGAGAGAATTTACACATTAAAAAATTTTAACTAGAATACTCTGGAAAAAATATTCCCAAGCATTCTACATTATAAAATACATATTTACAAACAATAAACAGTGAATTCACAAATGTCCACTATTTTAAATTTCTATCGCACTGATAAATATAAAATCCAGACACGGCAAAATGTCTAGAAACAGGTGTAGAGCTACAAACTGATTACAAAAGGAATGTTATAAATAAGTCATTAGAAAATACATACAAACACATCTACTATAAACTCAATAATAGTTGTTCACACAAACCATAGAAATAGGAAAAATAGACCTCACAAAACTGTCCTATATAGAACTTTTAAAAATACCTTTCCTTTATGAACTACGCTTCTTTGTTGCTGAATAACTGCCTATGATTCGGTGGAATTGTGCACATTTATCTCGAACCAGTAAATAACGGATGGTGGCTGTCATTTACAAAGGAACAGAGTGAGGGGAACCTGAGGAGCCTCCACCGGGGTCTGCGGTCGGCGCGTGCGTGCAACGGCTGTCACCAGGCAGCAGGAAGATTTTAGCCGGCCCTCTTCGTCAACAACATATGGAGCAGTATGTTGGAATTTTAGCTTTGATGATGATAAGGCTTTCCTGTCAACAGAAAAAAGAAATTAGTCTTGTTATTACCATGCAGGGTTCCTCTAATAGGCATTACACTTGCAAAAGCATGTTCCACAGGTCAAAACAAAAAAGGTCAAAGGTCAAACCAAAGGGGGTAACAGTGTAACAGGGTGCAGCCAAGGGCCCCCCAAAAAGGAATTTGGAATGGAATCCAGAACTCAAGGTGCCCAGGAACTATTAGAAAGATATATAATATGTCCTCCCCTCTTACCACCACCCCCCAGCAGATGTCAGTTGGGGGAAGGGACAAATAAAGCAGGACCATTGAGAGCTGTTTTGCATAGCAACAGTTTCGCAGCTAACCTCTGGAATGGTCATTTAAGGTATCTATAACCTTTAACTGGTTTCATAGATATGTTAAAAAGCTGTGGCCATGCTTTGAGCCAGGGAGAAGGGAGTGGCTTCTATCCAGGATGTAACCAGGGGCTCCTCCCGAGTTACAGCACCTGCGTGAGAGCTTGGAATTGATTGGCTCTACACCATAGGGCCACACCTGCCCAGACTCACTATGGCAGCCCAGTAAAGCTGGGAGGATATGGGAGTCCTGGCAGGTGTAACCGATTGTGGGAGGAGTCGGAAATGGGGCTGCAAAGGAGGACTGGCGCGGGGATTTAAACGCAGAGCGGCAGCCATTGAGGAGGGAGCAATGCGGTTTGGGGCAGAGTGAGGACCCCCTTCTTGCCTATGTGGGGGAGCCACGCAGTTGGGCAGAGTGAGGACCTCCTCTTGGCCACGTGAGAGAGAGAACCATGTGCTTTCGGCCAGAATGGGGACTCCCGCAGCCATGTTAGAAAGAACCATGTGGTTTTGGCCAGAGTGCAGACCCCTGCGACAACGGTAGAAGAGGCTTTGGGGTGATCCCTTGGGCCATGTGGCCTGGGAAGCAGGAGGGACTTTGCCTGGAAGAAGAGTGAAAGAACTCTTTGCCAGTGGACCATGAGAAGGTGCCACATGACTTCGGATTAATTCTGCCTGGATGGCGACACAGCTGATGGTGCCAGTGGCCTGAAACACAGACGTGTGCTTCTTTTCCTGAGATACGGTACCCCGAATTAGGGCAGGGGAGAAGTGCTGTGGGCTTCTGTGGTTATCCTAAAGGACTTTGATATTTTAATGGGGACGTCGGGTCATTACTTTAAGTCTGTATAGCTTTAAAAAACCTTTCATTTCCTTTTCACAAATCTCTGGCATTGAGATGTCTTTCCCCTGGTGGTGGACAGAGGAGCCCAGTAGGTATTAGTATACCGGCCTTGGGAGGGGCCCGTTTTCTGTAGTTTTTGGTATCCCCGGGTGGGCCAAATATTGGCCCCCCCCTTGGACCTCTTCTGTAACAGTTTTTTTGTGACTCTGCTGGGAGGATAATTGTCCGTGGCAGACTGACCCACTCAGGTCAAGAGAGTGAGACTTTGGAATTTTCCCAGCCTGAGATTTTCTCTGCACTCTTGTGGGCATCAGCCTCCTAGTCACGCCTGGAAAGATGAAAAGGAAACAAAACAGGGATGGAGCAGAGACGTGAAAGTGTTTTGGGTTGAAAACTTGGTTTCTGACTACTCTTTTGCAATAATGGAGCTGGAATTGTGGGCAATAGCTAGGGAAATACCTGGTCTTTACACCATCTGTATTTTTTTTTTTTTGCTCTGAATCTTTGTTTGCTTTGTTATTGTAACACGGTGTAGCCTAGTTATATTTTGAGTAATGAGCTGAGATGGCCCTCGAATGGCTGAGCTACTGCATCATTACTAGTTTGAAACAGTACTGCCCACAGCGTGAACTCTCAGAAGAGTTATACTACCTTACTGCGTTTATAATACTGCACAACAGCCTTGTGCCAGAGACAGAGAAGTGTATAATGGTCCAGAAGGAAAAAGGGGTCTTAGAACCCCTCCCTGTAGACCACAGGAGGAGAAAGACGATGAAGAAAGAAACCTCATTAATGCTCTGAACCCAGGGAATGAGGGACCCCAGACAGCAGAAACTCCAGAGGTGACACTGCTTTCTGGGGAGGTGAGGCCCACTACGGCTTCTCCTACCCTGCAAGTGGGAGAAGTCTCCACCACGGATTCACAGCCTCTGTGAGTGGGCTCTGCTCACCCGCTGCAGCAGGGGTTGGCAGGGGTCTCTTTGGCTCCTGAAAACAGAGCTGCAGGGCCCCCACCTTCACGGGTGGGTGGAGCCTGCTGTCCACCTGCACTGGTGACTGCAGCCTCAGTGCACCACCCCCAGTGGGTGGAGGGCAGCTCTGTGGTGCCCCCACGCCTGTGGGTGGAAGGGGCCTTGGGGACTTCCAGGGCTCCTGAAACCGGAGTCCTGGGACCTTCACAGGTGGGCAAACCAGAGTTGGGGTGCTGCCATTTTGAGTAAAATGGATGAACCACGTGAATGACCCACCATGGAGGACAGAGCATGCGTGGGTGTCGTCATCTTGGACAAGCCCGAATGAATGGGTGTTGCCACGTTGGAACTGGATGAGGCTTCTCTTCTGATTATGGGCTGTGTGCTGCTGCTGTGTGGGCACTGCAGCAGTCAGGTTCTCTGTGTAACTGGTTCTGATAGGAATGGCTCTGGTTTTGAAGGTCGTGAACTGAGCTCCAAGGGTGACCGTCTGATTTATAGGGTATTTGCAAGGTCTAAGCTTCAGAAAGGTACAAAATGACCCTGTGAATCTAGGGACTTTTAGTGGAAGGTACCTATAAAGCTAGGGACTTTTGGCTCCCAGATGTTGAGTTTAAGTACTGATTTTGAGTGTAGTCCTCCCTATGTGGGAAAGGAACCAAGATTAAGAGAGAACGATGGTTAAATCTAGATGAGTAGAAATATGTATAAAAGATGTGAAAGTTTTAAACCTGGAGTAAAGGAAACCTCAACTGCTTATTTTCTGGTTTTGTGGGAAAAAAGCAAATTTCTCACATTTGGTTCTGCTTCTGATCAGAAACCTGTATTGTAGGACCTAGGAAAGGTCACCGTAGCTGGTTGGAGAGAATGCCTTTGCCACCCAGGACCCAGGAAGGGTCATTTGGGGCTGATTAGTGTTTCAGCCTGAGGCAAAGCAGCATGTCCCTGCCATGAGACCGGATCAGAAGAGAGCATGTCTCTGAGGCACCAGTGGACACATTGGTGCAAGAGAATGCCTCTACCTGCGTATTGTTTCGGAACTCTGTGTTTCGGATTTTGCTCTGTGTCTGCTCTGAAAAGGAAACTGAGGATTCCAGGAAAGGTTGAAACTTTATACTTCATAGGAAAGTGAACAAGGAAAAGGATTTTCCATTATGCTTTGTGGTTTTCTCCCTACCTGACCCCTCCACAATTTGGCATTCTGAAGGCATGAGTGACACCGTAAGGTTTCTTTGCATAAAACCAATAAGGCCAGTCATTAATAGTGGTTTTGTTAACCAAGACTTTGACTAGAATGTTGCACCTAAAGGAGGCATGTATGGTTACCAGAAAGCCCTGAGGAACCGGGATTGACTTGTGAAGCTAGTGAAAGCCAGCGAGAAAAGCCTGGTACTTTGGCTGGTTGTGCAGTTCATGCCAGTCTTTCCAGGGAAGGAATAAAGGTTGCTTTCCTGAAAGATGGCTAAAAAGGAACCTGTAGCCACAATGGAGACTCAAAGATTTGAGTGAAATGACTGGTACAGGTGAAGCCAGATGGCAGATGTGTGGCTCTGCTTCTGTGCCCCAAGAGGCAAACTGAGAAGTCAATCTATGGGTTCCCTGTGTGAGTTCCAGCAAAGTAGACTTAAGGATCATAAGTGATCCAGGCTGCTCTTGGTGTGTTTATGCAAATGAGCAGTCAAAATCAAAAGCGGGACCCAAAGTAGTCCCAGTAATAACAGTGAAGGTGATCTTAAGGAGAAAAACTGTGGTTCAAGGAAAATCACAATGCTCAGTATTGGACATCAGAATGGCGCAGCTAACTGTCTTGAAAGTTTGTTTTCATTTAAGAGTTGAAACCGGGTTTGTGACGTCACCAAAGTTGTACAATTTATAGGTGCAAAGGACCTAGTGTCAAGTTGCCACTATTAAATGTCATTGCAGGAAGGACCCTGCAATGGAATGTCTTCTGAAAAGACAGTCTCACAGGCATAGAGACTGGTTTGGGGATTGTTGTGTGAATTAACCTGTGTGTTCTTCTCTTTTCATAGTGTGTATGCCTATGACCTGCTATGCCTTCCAGTGATTGGCTGCAATATAGGCCTCACTTAAGGAGCCCATCTTTGTCATTGCCCCCCTGAGACTCAACGGTTTAACTGAACTAAGTGGTTGGGTTGGTGAAGGGTTGGGGCAGTCTGTGGGCTTCACTTTACAACTGATTTTCCCTTTTCTGTCTTGATAGCTTGGATAGAAAGGGCTCAGTAATCTGAAAGGAGGGAAATCCTAATGTATTCCCCTCAGCCTGAGTGAAGTGTAGTGGGCCACAGGAGTTTTGGATAGGTGTAGCATGCCTTGTACACCTTCCTCCAGATAAGCAATTCTTTACTTTAGACCCTACCTTTGTCATTTAGTGGTTATGATTTAATGTGCTTCCAACTTCTTGCCTAATTTGTCATCTCCAGAATACGACCAGGATGCCAATGGTCCAGTAATGCCAGCCTTTGGACACCAAGCCTGTGACTTCCTGGTGACAGCCAACTGACCAGGACCCTGTAAGGTTCTTCCCCTTGCAGGAAGGACTCCCTCCGTGCTGCAACCCCGCCTTTCAGGAAACCCTTGACCCAGGGGTAGGTAGGACAACATCCATGTCCAGCCAGAAGTAGTTACAAGATGAGACCTTCGTCCATTGTCCTTTATATAATTATAAAAGGGTTGTAAATCTGAGAGATTGTAACAGGGCACAGCCAAGAGGGGGGCCCCCAAAAAAGGAATTTGGAATGGAATCCAGAACTCAAGGTGCCCAGGAACTATTAGAAAGATATATAATATGTCCTCCCCTCTTACCACCCCCCCCAACAGGTGTCAGTTGGGGGAAGGGA